CAGACCTGATTGAGTTAGATATGATATAATTTGATATTATAAAGAGTATGTATTGGTTGTCTTCTTGTTATGCTAACGTTGGTTGTAGATCAAAGATGGTTTGGTTCCAGTTTCCACGGGAGCCTGTTCTGGAGTGGAAAGGTAATACTGCATCACCGAGAGGTAGGTTTATTTCCTATCTCAAGGCAAGGAAAATGATTAGAAAGGGCCATATTTATCACTTAGTTCGGGTACAGGATGTGAAAACAGAGTCACCGACCCTTCAGTCTATCCTCGTGGTTAATGAGTTTCCCGATGAGCTTCTAGGTCTTCAACCAGAGTGGGAGATTGAATTTGCTATTGACATATTACCAGATACTCAGCCGATATCTATTCCTCCTTATAGAATGGCACTTGTAGAGCTGAGAGAGTTGAAAGAACAACTGAGGGATTTGCTTGAAAAAGGCTTTATCAGACCAGTACATCACCGTGGGGAACACCTGTGTTATTTGTGAGAAAGAACGATGGTTCCTTGCGGATGTGTATTGATTACAGGCAGTTGAATAAGGAAATGACTCATTCATTCTACATAGGTTATCTGATGGTTCTATATAGGGGAAGTGGACCCCATGGTCCAAGTGGTTATGAGTTGTCTTAATATACTACTTGAATTAAATTAGTTTCTTAGTGAGAATAGAGGCAGCAATGAAAGTTAGTTCCTCCTTACGGTATGAAAAGTTCTTTAACTTGAATTGAGGCAACAAATTCATTAACCATAGCAATTTATTCAATTCATACAAACCCCATCTCAATCAACTAGAAGCCCTTTACAATTGCACTATATGGACAATCCTCTCTAAGGCAATTATTTTGCAATTTTCCTCTTGGTTTGGAAGTTTTGTGTGTAAAGGTGTTGGGAAGGCTTATCTCCAGTTCATCTTATAACTTTCATTCAAACAATTAAGGTATGAATTCAACAATCCTTCTAGATAAGTTTACCTTCAACTTGGAGAAATCCACTTTAAATTCTTCTTGGTGTAGAAATAAAGGTTCTTGTAGCGTATTTGAGGAGAATTTGGTTGCGTTGAAGGGCTGAAAATATATATATATATATATATATATATATATATATATATATATGTGTGTGTGTGTGTGTGTGTGTGTGTGTGTGTGTGTGTGTGTGTGTGTGTGTGTGTGTGTGTGTTTTTCCTTGTTGTTCAAGGTGATATCATACTCTTATTCATGTATTTGAGGTCATTTGGATCATAGTTTGGTTATTGATGAAGAACTTGTGTATAGCTTGAAAGTTAGGATTAAAAATTTCTGGTTTGTGGGAGCGTATTGATGTGTTATTGAAGGAGTTTTTTTATGTATATCTAGCTACTGGATGTTGTGGTTATGTGGTTTTGGGGTGTGTTACATGAATATGAATTAAGGAAGAGCGTAAGAATATCATATACAGGCGTAGATCGGACTGTTTTGGTGTATACTAATGGATATTGACGGATTGAGTTCAGAAAGGAATTAATTGAAGTCCTTGTTGTTGTGTTAGTTGTTGATTGTAGGGTAGTTAAGAGGAAGTAAAGGAAATGCTGCCCGTTTTAGTTTAGAATCAGGTTATCGTTTGAGATACATAATATACTAGCGCCATCTAAATTGCACATGTATTTCCTTGTTATAGGGTTGGCGCACTAATTGTCATAATCTTGTTGTCGAGTTGCATTGGCGACTTGAGGTATGTTAAGGCTATCCCTTCTTTCCTTTTGGCATGATCCATATGATACAAACGAAACGAGCAAATGTGCAACTTTCATAAATGACTCTATTCATAGAAGCACTAGGGGTGCCTATGTTGTTGATTCCCCATGTGTCTTATTATTATATCTTCTGTTCAAGGGTCTCAGAAAAATATGTAGTTGATAAAGTTTATCCGAAGGCATATTGACCTTGTGATATTCCGAGAGATCTTGTTGATTTACTTCTTATGCACTGCATTCATGTATACATGTACATTGACCCATGAACAGAAGTCATTTTATACGCGTATATTATATGTATATATGGTATGGGGAAAGGTTATTGCGTTATATACGCACCACCACCTGATTTGTTGGTATACGTTGATCGCCCACTAAGGCCGAGAAGATATGATGGAACGCCTTTAGAGGCTTGCTGAAGTTATGTACGCATATACTTATGCATGATATGACATTTATACGTATATGCATGACATTATAAATGTTTCATGATTCACATAGCTATTCAGACTTACAGGTTGAGTCATTTACTCCATGTTTCTTTCATATCTTTTATATACTGATTTTTATGCCTTACATACTCGGCACATTATTTGTACTGACGCCCCTATTACTTGGGGCCTGCGTTTCATGCCCGCAGGTGCAGGTAGACAGGCTGACTGTCCCCCTTCTTAGGATCCTTGCTCAGCAAGAGTTGGTGTGCTCCATTTGATCCGGAGCTGCTATTGGGTTTTGGTATGATACTTTTGTATACATATATGAGTATGACGAGGCCAAGTCCCGTCCTTTATACAGTTGTACACTCTATTAGAGGTCTGTAGACAGTCATGTATAGTTGGATAGTATGTGGCCTTGTCGGCTCGCCCTACCGTATTACGTATATATACGTATATATGTCTTTTGGACATGTGTTTCCCGCTTATGTTGTTAATATGAATCAATAGTTTATTGCCAGACATTATGCATAACCTACACTTATTTCATGTTTATATCTTAGACGTATGTTTAGGGGTGTTCGGCAGGTAGAACTCGTCACTCGTTATGGCTCATCGGTTTGGGTCGTGACAAAACCGTTCACCTCCATAGGTTTAGCAACTTAGTAAACCAATGACGTCATCGAACATAAAAATATGAATCGTTTAGTTTAAGATCAAGATATCCTAGGATTATAATTATGGGATTAAAATTAGGATTAAAACCAGGATAACTTATCCCACGTCCTTCTTTATGGGATAAGTTATACCAAGATTTTGAAATAAAAATAATATCGGTTTAGCTAATATCTTCTATCAAACACCCGATAAATTTAACCCAAAATTTAAACTGGAATAACCCACCTAATCCATTGAACCAAATGGTCTCGTAGGGTCTATCCCATAGGTATGAAAATGGAGGTTGACCTATATTTATTAGTAGTTAGTTGTTAAGTTTTGCTTATTCACGCAAATAATAAAAATATATATTAACCGGGTCTTTTATTTTATTCACCACTTTGGCCAAGCGACTATCTTTTTCTCAAGCTATAACTAACGAATGTACATGCAAATTCCAACAAAATAGAGCAGTTAATTTTAGGGATGCTTATCGGGCGGATTGGGCGGTTATTTACTCTTAACCGTTTGGCTTATCGGTTATCGGCTTTTAAATGTATTAATCCGCAAGCCACCCGATAAGATATCGGGCGGATTGTATCGGTTTAGCTCTTATCGGACGGCTTATTGGCCTAATTCAATCTATATTGTCTGTTAACGCATTTGAACTTGTATCTCCCTTGTGAGGTAGACCTTAGAAATATTGATTCTTGTTTATCATGGTGTTTTCTGGTTTCTTGAGTCCATCGGTATTGACTTTAATCTACGTTGGTCGATGATTTTCATTTACTGTGGACATTAAAGTAATCAGAGAGGAAAAGAACGGTTTTTGCAGTGCAAAATTCCCTAACAAAAGGACAAGCAAGAAAAATGGAGTTGTCATTTGTATTACTGTATAGTTATGCCACATCCTTGGAAGTTACGAACTGGGGAGAATTCAAGAATTCAACTCTTAAGTCACACGGTATTAAAGACTGTAGTATACATATTTAGGAATTAGGCGTTAGAGATAGAGTACTAGAAGTGGAAGGGTTTTTGATATTTAATTTCAATCCGTTCCCCGTCCGTTAAACCGTTAACCCGATACCAATAAGCCATTAAGCTTCGTTTTGGGTTCGGTTTTGAACACCCCTAGTTAATTTTCCCCCAACTATCCTAGGTACTAAGTTTCCCCTCTTGTTAATTAAACAGGATATTGCTAGCTAGAACCCAAGTTCAGGGAATTCAGTAACAACCACTGGTACAAAGACTTTTAGTTTTACCATCACTATAAAGTTTATATTCTTGTTTAATATTGTCTTCTATCCATGCCAGGATAAGATGGATGCAACTTGCAATCAAAGACGAATACATGATTTAAACTCTATGAGTTCAACTTTTACGTTACTAGCATTAAACTCATTGTATTTTTAAAAGTTATAGCTTCATATCGTATTTGTTACAATTTTAGTAAATTTATATACATAAATTTATGCTCCACATCGAAAATTCAGATGAACCCGACAGCAATATGCTGCATTCAGCTCTGCTTGCAATGTTAAAACCAGCAGTTCCGGTTTTAATAATACTATAAAAATCTTAATTAATTTAGAAAAAAAATTGAAAAAAAGTGGCAAACGCTATGACCAAACGGGGCAAATAGCTTTAGTTCATAGAATTGTTTGGAAAAATACTCTATATATTGCTTTATACCCTTACTTGTCTTAAAGAATATCTCCCAAAAAATTTCCCTGGTTTAACTCTTCAGCAATTGACCGTAGGTACTAGGTAGAGTTGAGTTGAAAAAACAGTGTTAGCAGCAATTTCAAGTTTTTGAACCTTCTGTGACTTCAACGAATTTACTTGGAACAGTTATTATGTACATGAAAATTTAACAAAGTCAAAAATCAAACTCTATTTTATCTAGTTTCAAAAATCTGTCAATAGGATTTGAGTGACATGACAAATGACCAGCATTGCCAAAAAATGTTATATATTCATACCTGTTCCAGTAATCCGAAGTTGAAAAATGGGCAGAAAAAAGGGCAGCCTGGCGCACAAAGTATCCCTCATTCACACAAGCTTCGGGGAAGGGCCGCAACTCAAGGGAGTATGATATAGGCGGTCTATCCTAATACAAGCATCAGTGATAGATTCCACTCCTCGAATCCCTTACCTATAGGTCACAAGGAGACATGCAAATCCTATTTTTTATAAGAAGCCTGATATAACTAGAAGATGGCAAAGACTATGCTATAAACCCCTTTTATATGATAGAATCCCTTAACTCTTTAAGAACCACTAATTATGATACACATATACAATGATACATTTAGATAATGTGCGTGTATCTGTATGTACACAGTGCATTGGTAGTTGCAGACTGACTAGATTAATTAGCTTTGCACACAGCAAGCATTCAAGATCTCGTTTATATCTGGATCATCCCCTGCTTCTTTATCCTGTGAGAATCAAGCAGATAATTTAAACAAAGAATTAGTGAAGTTTATTTAACCGTAGCCTTGAAAATAATTCTAAGCTACAGTGGTGCATATAACTTCTGTAACAAGATCGAGATGATGAAGGAACAGAGATTAACCTTGTGTATGTATGTGATTTTATTTTTACCAGGACCTGCAACAATAATTCCTCCTTGTCGCCTGACAATACACCAAGCAAATTAAGTCACATCATTCTGATAAATGGTCTCTAATAATATGACAAAAGGACCTGTCGCACACACTAAGCTAGCGTTTGGCATAGATTCCCGAATTTGTGTTGAAAAATCTGATTTGGGTGAAGTTTGGTTTGAGGATAGAAAATTTATTTGAACATAAATTTTCAACATATATTTCAATTATTTTTTTTTTTGAAAACATGAAATGCGACTTATACCCATAAATTCTAAAAATTATCAAAAATACCCAACAATACAAACAAATAAACTTACTAATCTTGTATATGCAGAACTTTCGTCGATGCCATTTGTTATCATTATCACAAACCATAGTCATGAACATAGATAAGTTTGGCGCAAAATTATCATTTTTATAATGAACTACTCCCTCCGTTTCATATTAGATGAGGTACTTTCCTAAAAGCTAACAGATCAGAAGATAAACAGCATCTGCGGAAATTGACATACCAGCCACCTCGTGTCCTGGTGTCCTTCTCAAATGAAAGCTTCCAGTCCTGTCTATAGCCTTCCATATACAATTGTATTATTTTCAGACCTGCCTATGCTTGAAGTAAATAAGAACAGATGAGAAAGAACACTATTAATATAGATTGAGAAGCTGGAAGTTTTACTTTATGATCATCTAATTGGCATACCCCAGGTGTGAATGTGGTTGTAACGCCTGACACAAATCTCAGAGCATCATAAGACCTATAGCTTGGATCTGCATAAACCTCTGTAAAAAAAAAAAGAACCTCTGTCAAGGTGTCACCTTTTGAAAGCCACAGATGTAGAAAATTTTGAAGCAACAGCTAGAATATACTTTATCCAATGCAAAAGGATGCCGGAGTGAGTGTGACAAGTTAGCAACACTTCTAGCCTGCTTCATTTTTAATGTAAAGACAGATGCCCTACCCATTAATCCTGGAAAGTTCTTGGGTCATGATCTATGTTGCTCGGACTCGTATACACTCTGATACAGGTGCGGATTTAGAGGTCGGATTCTTTTTCACATATATTTTTAGATTTGGGGGTATAGAAGTGAGTGTGGATACTGGTGGTGGGATACGGCCGATAAATGCATATTACGAAACATAAAGTAAATATCTCAATTAAGTAAAGCAATTGAACTAAAGCTAATAAAATTTAATTCTTTATAAACACCTACTCCCTCTGTTCCAGTTTATGTGAACATATTTCCTTTTTGGTCCGTTCCAAAAAGAATGAACCCTTTCTAAATTTGGTAACAATTTAGCTTAAACTTACAACTCTACCCTTAATGAGAAGCTTTTATAACCACACAAATACTCTGGGCCCCATTTGGACTTGTTTAGGACCACAAATTCTAAAAGTCTTCATTTTTTTCTTAAACTCCGTGCCCAGTCAAACAGGTTCACATAAATTGGAACGGAGGGAGTAATATTTTTTTCATAAGATATCTCGTGTAATAGAAATGCATTCTCAAACTTCATTATATAACTGCATATATATGACATAAACCCAAAAAATAAAATCAAATACCCAAGCAATCTATACTTCTCGGTAATAGATATAGTCAACGCACCCAAGATCAGTTGACCAAATCCAGTGTGGATCCCACACCAGGGATTTTGAAGAGTCCGAGCAACATAAGTCATGATAGGATTTCATCTTCTGGATCTTTCTAGTTTGTTTAGAAGGGGGAACATAACATCACAACAACAACAATCCAGTAGGATCCCACAAGTGAGGTCTGAGGAGGGTAGAGTGTACGCAGACCTTACCCCTATCCCGGAGGGATAGAGAGGCTGTTTTCGGGAGACCCTCGGCTCAGAGACAAGGGGAACATAACATCACGTGATTGGAAATAAGAATTACACACATTAGATAAAACATACCTTATATCCCTCACATTGCATCATTCAACATAATCTTCTTACGGGGGGAAATGTAACTTAAGTGAAATGTCATTCGAGCGAGGTCACTGACCCTATGGAGCATATATATCATTGGACATTGCTTGAATCTAGTTCATGGGACCTAAGGACTTCTAGTAACAGCCACCGGTGGACACAGGGTCTTTTATCCAAGACTTACCTCCTTTAAACTTTGTTTGCTCGGAGAATGATCTTGCCTGGAGAAAACAAAAGAAAAGAAGCCACAACTCAATCCAGCTTTTGCATGCGGTTTAATGAGCTCTTGCAAATCATAAAAAGAGCAAGAAACAGAAAAGAAGCAAAAAAAGGAGCAGAATAAGTTGAACTGGGCTAGAAACAAGAAGGTGCTTATAATAGAGAAAAATTTTATTCTTCGTACACAAAATGATTATTAGAGATTAAGTTTGAGAAATGTTTTAATAATTTTTTCGAAGGGAAAAGAATGCGAAAGTTAAATCATGGATGAGCAACGTAGTGCAAGAAGCGCTGCTATATACCTGATCAACACTACCAGGTCCAATTAAAACAAGTGCAACTCCAGCTGCATCCATTTTATCCTGTGAATATTCTAAAGTATTAAGTACAGATATAAATTTTAGTGATGGTTCAACTAAAATGATAACTTGAGCAACAGATGGTAGAAATACAGGATATGTCCTTTATCATCTTTGTGGTTAGAGCAACTAGTTGAGTGTATTGAAGATAACAAAGTCTAAATAAGAAGCATATAAGAATTAGAAAATCTGTGGACAGCATGATCTTCATACTATCACCTACACAATAAGCACTGAAATTATGCAATTTCCATCACTTAACTCACTAGTATCAAACAAGGATACCAGGACTCGTCAATAGTTCAATAATGATTTAGAAAAAGGATTATTTTGCAAAAGTTCTGTGAATATGATCCTTCTCAATGGTTAAGCATAAGCAAATTATTAAGAAGGGAAGTTGGAAAATTTAAAAGATTTTGTCAGATGTACACTTACAGGAAAAAAATGATAACTTTCAAAGATGTAGCCAAGCAAAAAGTATTACCTTCTCAGCTGCAAGATAATCAGCCCTTTTGCGACAAAGGACACATCTGCAGTCGAGAACTAGAATAAGTAGAAAATAGTTTCATCCACTTCATGCTTTTTTGATTATCAGTTTTTCGAGGAATGGTGCATAACACCACAGAAAATTACCCAAAATGACGAGCAAACGCAACAACTGCTTTCCTATCTTTCCACAGATCCGAAATAGGTACACCTTGTCCATTCAGATCGAATACTTGAACATCATCCAACACATTGGTGGTTTCCTCACTCACCACTGTAGACTCTATTCCTATTCCAAAAAACCAGCAGTTCCAGCCTTATCAATGATGTATGAAATGTCTTTAAGTATCTTTAGTCCAACAAAACCAACAACAACATACCCAGTGTGATCCCACAAGGGTGTCTGGGGAGGGCGGGGTGTACGCATACCTTACCCTACCTTTTGTGAGGTAGAGATGTTTTCGATAGACCTCAGCTCAAGAAAAACGTTTTTAAAACAGGTTTGAAAAAAGTATCTTTAGTCCATAGAATCATTTAAAAACTAGTACTATCTGTAATAACTTACATACCAATTGCAGATATCTGTAATATAGCTTTAAAACTATTTGATTTATAACTTTAAATCACTTCTTTAAATATATTCTCCAGATTGGAGATACAACCTAGGCATCCTTTTCTGTATCTTTTAGCCAAAGTCAAATCTTTGTTGAAATTCAAATGCTCAAACAGCAGCTAGAATCATCATTCAGTCATCAATCACTAACTTACCAATTTTGCCTAAGCTAAACCATCATATCACATAATAACAAACCTTTAAGACAAAATCCCACAAGCTCATCTGTTAGATTTGGAGACAGCTAACCTTTTGACTCTCTAGTTTACTAAATCAGCTTAAGCTAAGCTGCGGACCTAAATAAATCTTAAAATTTTCCATTTTATGCAATATTAAGTAATACATTTTGATGTGTTTTTTATTCTAATAAAAAGGAATCAAGCTTGCACATAAGAAACGGGTTGAACAACTACTACAATTAATCAAAAACTAAAAGTGTACTCTATCAGCCTCTAATTCACGTAATAACATAATTATAAGACGAAATTGACAAGCTTAACCTGTGGAATTGGAGATAGCAGAGGCCCTGTGGGAAGCAGAAATGGCTGAAAAAGTGGGGGTTAAGTAGAGAGGAGAGCTTAGATTGCAGTTAAAACTTAACGGGTATGGAATTAAATTAACATTGTGAATTAGGAGACGATGAACTCTTCCTTTAATTCCAACTGTGAGGCCGCAGTTGTGTGCAGGGGCAGAGACAGAAATCGCCATTGGCGTTGGCGAAACAGAGATTCTTCAATAGACGATGTTAGAATGTAAAATAATATAGAGTTAATGCGAAATAAAGAGAGTTAAGAGTTGCATGTGGAAGCAAAGCTTACACGTGGTCAATTTCCACTCTCCAAAAAATGAGAGCCTTCAAAATAGAATTGTTTTTTTTTTAATAATTAAGTTTTAATTTTCATATAAAAAACTTATACAATTAAGTTAAAAGTACTTCCTCCGGTCCATTTAAATTAATTTTTTGACTTCTTTATGATCCACAATTTTATTTTTTTCAAATATTAAGAAGTAATTAACTTTTTCTTTTCAAAATTGCTCTTGGAGTAAAGAGTGAGTAGTTTTTTATATTTCTAACGAGCAAATTAAGGTTAATATCATCAATTTTATTGTTACTAGGAGTGGCAAAAGGGCAGGGCGGGGCGGATATGGTTCGGGTCGAAGATGGGTAATGAAAAAACGGATCAATTATTCGACCCGACACATATTTATTACGGATAAAAATGGGTTAACCGACGGATAATATGGGTAACCATATTATCCATGAATTCTTGCATATGATCACTTTCGGGAGAATTTTTATTCTCCCTAACTTGAGGAACCCCCAATTTGAGGCTTTACAAATGTAAAAGTTAGACCCATTGGTTATTCATTGGTTACCCATTTTCCAAATTGATAATATGGTTCTTATCCATATTTGATCCGCTTTTAAAAAGTTCATTATCCAACCCATTTTCAGTGGATAATATGGGTGGTTTATTGTTTTCTTTTAACCATTTTACCACCCCTAATTGTTAATTAATGCTAAAAGCTGAATTCCTTAATATGTGTAAAAAGAATCGAAAAATCATTTAAAGTGGACCAAAGAGAGTATTAAGTTGTTTATCATATAAAAAAATCTTTATACTATTAAGTGAAAAAGTAATGTCAAGAAATTTTCGATAATGAATATTGGTGAGCATTTTCAAAGTAAATACGTAATGCCACTTTGGGGGAGTAAGTAATTTGCTGTAACATGTATGAGATGCAGTTTAAGTCTTTTTTAATATAGGAAATGGAAATATTCATATATTATTAATAAATACTAAAGTTACTTAATAGTCTTACATCCCATAGAAATACCACTTAGGGCATTTAATTGCCAAGTAATTTGCTGTAACATGTAGTGTGTATTTGGTATGATAAAAAATAGAAAATATTTTCGTAGAATAAAGTAATTTTCTTACTTATTTTTTGGTGCTTGGTTAGTAAGGAAAAAATATTCTCCCAAGAGCATTTAAATCTAATTTAGATAAACACTATAATATCGGACATGGACCCTAGACCTCGACACCGATTCCTGACCCTGACCATGGTCCCCGACCTAGGATCCCGAGCCTAATCAGAACCTCGACCCCTAGTCTGAACCACGATCCTGACCCTAACCCCCCGACCATGATTATAAACCCAACCTTGACCCCATTTCGAACTTGAAAATCGCCCCCGACCTTAACCCCTACTCCGATTCTCGACCCTAAAGCCCGACCCCAAACCCTGGCTCGACCTTTAACCCCGACACCCGATAGTCGGTCCATGACCTCCGTGTTTCGGGTCGAGGTGAGGCAGGGGTGGTAGGAGTTGGTGTCTAGGGGTGAAAGGAATGAGCGCGACATGGCGGGGGAAGGAGGGTCGAGGGTAAGTTCGTGGTGAAGGGTTAGCTAGGGCGCGCGAAGTAGGTCAGGGCGTGGGGTTAGAGGGTGGGGGAAGGTGTATCGGGGTGGGGATGAGATTGGGGTGGGCGGAATGAGCTTGGGGTGTAAAATATTAGATAATGCATCCCATCAATAATTAAATACATTCCATTTATTTGTTTGAATTAAAAAATTTGCTAGAATTCAATATTCAAAATTCTTTAATTAAAGAAAATAAAAACGATGGTCCAAAATATCTTTTAGGGCAATCAAAGTGTCTGAAGGTTTAAATTAAAAACGTGAAAAAGAAACATTGAGAGGAGAGAGAATATTCTTGTACCACGGCATCTTCGAAAATCGGGATTATTAATCTTTGATGGGGCAAATTATTTTAATTGAGTCTTTTTAACTTAATTGGGTATAACCCAGCAAATTTCCAATCAAAACAAATTCGGGTTGATCCACGTAAATACTGATCCATTAACGCATCGCAAAGCACAGAACTTGACAATTTCGTTTTTAACATTTTCAATATTTACAAATATCAATGCACTTTTCCCTATTTCATTTTATGTGAAGTTATTACAAAAGAATAAATCAAAGAGAATAGTTTAATGTCATGAAATTTGAGTTCCAAATGAAATAACACTAATATCCGACAACAACAAGTCCTACCTTCATCTTGAGAAGGTAAAAATCAGTTTCAAAAAATAACAGTAACAACAACAATAACAACAACAAGATAACATGTAGTAATAAAATCCTAAAAATAAGAAAATACGAAACTAACACTAATGTTCACTAACAAATTTTAATTTTCATGAAGTTCTTAAATAAAATTCATATTAAAACACAAATTTTTTTCTTACAAAATTTTCTTTTTAACTTCAGTAAAAACTATTCCAGTTTTTTCAGCTCAACTTAAATATTGTCCTAATACGGTAATAACAGTACTAATTTGTTTTTCAAAAAAAAAAAATATAATAATAATAATAATAATAATAATAATAATAATAATAATAATAATAATAATAATAATAATAATATACTCATTTCTTTACTTTTGCTTGAAGCTGCCAACTCCAAACCACAAGTTCGGGTCGAACCACGTGACCCGTTAATGTAATACCTAGAAATTTTCAACACTTTTCCTATTAACTAGGAAATCGCCTCCTTATTTGTCCCCCTCTTCTCTCTTCACAGCTCCGGAAAAAAAAGTCCAAAACTTTGCGGCAATGGCGGCCATGATCCGCCTGTTCAGATCTTCATCTTCATCCATTGCCCTTAGGTCTTTTTCCACAGCAGCTGTATCTGAGACTTTGAAATCTCAATCTTACCCTCACAATCCCCTCCCTACTAATATTGAACCCAAGGGTAAAACTGTCCAATGGGTTTTCTTAGGTTGTCCAGGTGTCGGAAAAGGTACTTATGCTAGTCGCCTTTCTACTCTTCTCGGCGTTCCTCATATTGCCACTGGTGATCTTGTCCGTGAAGAGTTGAATTCTTCTGGCGCTTTATCCAAACAAGTATGTTTTGTTAACCTTTTTTTCTTTCAATTTTTTGCTTTAAGAATTTCTTATTTACTGTGTAGATTGATGCATTACTTAATATGTGTGTACATATTTGACATATTAACTTAAATAGCCAAGCGGCCAACAGATGTATAATATATGTATATTGGATGTTTGGCCGAGCTAACAAATGTGTAACGTCCCCTAAATATTTTCAACAACTGATCCGTTAATAAACAATTCATAGATTTGCTATGGGGCTATAAAAATATCAACTTTATGATTTGATACTGATATAATGCTTATTTAAGTATTATTTGGCGATAATAAGGTTAGATCTGGAAGTAGTGGCGGAGCTAGGATTTTGAGTTTATGGGTTCTAAATTTTAGAAAAGGCGTCTTATTCCACTGGAGGGGTAAGGCTTGCGTACACATTGCCCTCCCCAGACCCCATTTGTGGAATTACACTGGTTTGTTGTTGACGTTGTTGTTGTTGCTTCTTATTGGGTTCTCGATAACTTATTTATGCATATTAAATGAATTTTTAAACACAAATATATGGTTTGGGTCAAAGCTAATGGGTTCTTCACTGATTGATAAACACTTCTGAATCAAATTAGTGCTGATTACTCGTAGTTTTTTATCTAGTTTGGGAGAGCAGATTTGAGCCATTCTTGAAAGAAGTCTGAGATCCGCTAATAAACAATTCAGAGATTTGGTGGAAGCTTAATAACTAAAAGGAGGTCTTATCTATATTTTTACTTGCTTTAATGTTGTCCAAGGCGAACAAAGTAGAGAAGTGCCTAAAAACTGTTGTGGCTTTAATCGCAGAACATAATTAAGTTGAGACCTTTGTGAAGAAAGGTGCAAATGAAAAAAAAATATGTATGTGATGCAAGAAAAAATTTCACTTTAAACACAACAACAACAATATTTGGACAGATGAAATGAAAAAAATACAATCAAGTAAAATATTGAGGTATGGTAATTGAGTATTCATATGGCCAATCCTAGCTTGTGTTTGGGACTAAGGCATAGTTGTTTTCATTATATGCATTTCCAGCTTTGTTTTTTGTACTTGGTGAAATTAGTTCATCTCATGGTCGGCTTCATTCTCTTTCAGCTTGCAGAGATTGTCAACCAAGGAAAATTGGTTTCAGATGAGATAATACTAAACTTACTATCTAAGAGGCTTGAGTCTGGGGAAGCTAAAGGTGAAGCTGGATTCATACTTGATGGATTCCCTAGAACTGTGAGACAAGCGGTGAGTATGCATTCAATTTTCCTACATAAGTTCTCTCAATTTCAATCTTGTCTATTCTACACCTCTTGGCTACCATCTCCCAAAACCTTATATGTATGAGATTGAACGTTACGATCTGATCATCTATGAGAAAATAGTTAGGCTAGGACAGTGATAAACTGAGAATGAATTCTTCTCACCAAAGAAGAGAAATGTAAGAAGTTAGAGGCGAAGTGCTGCTCACTTTAGTTGTCAATTTTCATGTTAAATGCATTAACTTGACTAGTGGGAGGCAAGAATGATGCTTGAAAATAGTGTATTACTAACTTAATAGACTTCATAGAAGAGGATGCTGTTACCAGTGTTCAACAAAGGAGTTTCTTGAATGCTGGGAATTCTGCCCTGTTCGCGCTACTTTATTGTCTAAATTGATAGGAACTTTTGGTAAAAAGCATTGACAGGACTTCTGATTTATATCATAGGTGTTAGACGAAATTCTTGTGGAAGTTCTATAACATTTGTGTCTGTTTCTGCATCAGGAAATATTGACCGAGGTGACAGACATAGATTTGGTGGTTAATCTCAAGCTTCCAGAAAAGGTATTGGTTGAGAAATGCCTTGGC